ACAGCCAGGCTGGGGACAGTGCCACCCTGGGGTGCCACTTGTGCCTCTGAAGAGCCACATTTTTGATTCTGAAAAACCCAAAACAGGCAGGTGCCAAAGTATTCCCATTGGGCACCCCAGAGGAGCAGGGCATGGAGCCTGAGGCTGTCCAGGAAGGGATTCCCATGTGGAAAAAGGACCCCAGTGACACCCAAACCAGCCTTTCCCAGCAGGGATGGGAGACTGGGGTGACGCCAGCAGAAGAAAGAGCAGCTCCCAGCCCAGTCCCAAATCCCGCTGCCCTTCATCTTCAAAGGGCTCTCTCATCCCCTTCCCTACCTGCTCCTGGCATCCCTGACAAAAAGGATGAGCCCCACAGGAGCATTCCAGGCTCCCAATTAAAATCAAAGGATCTGCAGAGATGGATCCCAGAGGGACACATTACCCCAAACCCTCTCCCCAAAAACGGGTCCCTGGGGGGAGGAGAGCCAAGGACAGGACACAGAGCATCCATCCCACCGCTGCCTCGGGATCAGGGGGTTTGGGAGCCCTCTGGAGCATGGCAGAGGGGTGACCCAGGCCATGCCACGTCCAGCAGGCAGAGAGAGCCCCACTCCATCCCTGACCTGGCTTTAGACCCCCTGAGCGCCCATCCTGTGCTCCCCCAATCCCACAAAACCTCACTCCAGGCTAAACCCCAGCAAACCCCACACCCCCTGTGCCAGCCATTTCAGGGCTTTATTGCCTTTTTCCCCAGTTCTTTTTTCCTTTTCCATCCTTTCCCCACCTGGCACATCCCCCGTTTCCACCCCATTGCCTCAGCGGGTTTCCAGCCGGGAGAGCTGGAAATGGCCTCATTATTTCCACTGAGGAATCCTGTGCTCAATTAGCCAGAGAAGGGTAATTATCTGCTTGGAGAAGATGAGGAAAAGGGGGGGATGTTTTATCAGGGACCATCCCAGCTTCCAGCCCAGCCCCTGGATGCTCCAGGTGTCACCAATGGCTGGGACATGGGAGCCCTGGGATAATCCCACTGGGATCATCCTCCCAACCCCACCTGGCTGGGTGTTCCCCACTTCACACCCCCCAGAAACTGCCTAAAATCCTCATGCCCTGCACCTGCAGCCTCCAGCTGCTCACTGACATCCTGCTTAATGAGTAATTAACCTTTTTCCTTGTTAATTAACCAGGCAGCACCCCTGGCACAGACAGACAGGTCCTGGCTCATGGTGGCCAAATCCAAAAGTCATCTCCAAACTCCTTTGGGGTGATGCTCTTCCCCCAGACCCTTGCGACAAGTTTTTTCCTTAATATGGTTTATTTCCTATGACCTATTTGGGATTTTTTTGCTTGTTTTGTTTGGTTTTTTTTCCCTCCATTCCATGTTTTTCCACCTAAAACATTCCCTGCCTCTCCCAGTCTGGCAGCAGCAGGATGAGGTCCACCTGTGCATGGTCAAACCCTTCCCCAACCTCCATCCAACCCCTTCCCAAATCCAAAAAGGCCGAGTGGGACCTAAACTCTGCCTCTCCCACACCTTCACCCGGGTTTTAGGAGCCCACTGGAAAATCCAAGGAGCATCCCAGCTGTATCCAGCTTTCCCTGGAGAATCCCCCACCTCTCCACAGCCAAGGAAGGTGCCCTCCCCATGGCAAAGGGCAACATTTTCCCCTCCCAATGTACTTTCCCATCTGTTTCCCCACCTCCCAGAGACCCCGTTCTCCACCAAAGCCCAGCTCCCCTCACTCCCACTTTGCAGCCATTGCACCCCCTCCTTTCCACAGCAAAACCTCTGGAGCATCCCGAGGAGCCAGCCGGGATGCAGGGACAGCAGGGATGGGCACCTGGGGACATCCCTGAGCATCCTCCCCGCAGGAAAACCACGGCTCGCCCCCCAACACCCGCGGGGATCCCATCCATGGTGTTCCCAGCATGGGGACAGCGATCCCAAGCCAGGGTCTGGCCACAGGCCACCCAGACACGGCCATCCCGAACAGCGGCGGGGCCGGGGGGAAGCGCCTGGGGATGGGGGTGGGAATACATGGAAAAGCCCCCGGGAACACCGGGAAAAGCCCCCGGGCACGGAGGATCCCGCAGGGAAGCGGCAGCCCCGGTGCCCTCCCCTCCCTCCCAGCCTCATTTCCTGCCTCGCTCATTCCCATTATCCCGATTTCACCGCGAGGCCCAAAATTTTGCAGGCTCATGCTGCTGCTGCTGCTCCGCTCGGAAACTTTGGGGTTTCCAGCCGGGAGGCTTCGCCAACCCCCGGGACCGCTGGGACCCCCTCGGGAAAGGCTTTTCCTCCCAACACATCCCGGCCCCTTGGCGTTTTTTAGGACGCATTTTATAGGCGAGGTCGGTCCCGGCGAGCTCAAGTTTCACCCGGCAAATATCGCGAGTGGCTTCGTGTCCCCCCGGGCTGCCCAGGGACAGCTGGCCCGGGAAAACCGGGAAAAACGGAGCGAGCCTCGGGGCACCTGTCCCTCCGGAGCATCCCGAAATCCATCCCGGAATCCAACCCGGCGGCTACCCAAGGGAGGGGGGCAGAAAAATGGAATTTTGGGTATTTTTACGGTAGAGAAGTACAGGCTGAGAAAGTGCTGGGATGGGATGGGGAGGGTTGGGAAAGGATGGGAACGCTGGGAAGGGATGGGAGAGCAGAGATTGTCCCTTCCAGCAGGGCGAGCGCCTATAAATGGCCTCTTTGTCATCTCAGCCAAGGCAGCGGGTGGAAAAATGAGGACGGAGCGGCTCGAGGGGGGACAATGAATGTCCCGGCCGGTTTGGGGACCCTCCTGGGTGTTCCCCTCATCCCGAAGGGCCAACGCCGGGGCGCGGAGCCCACGGAGGGGTCCCGCTCGCCCCAAACCCGCTCGGGTGACGCGGGACAGAAACACAGCGCTGGAAAGGGAGGGTGCTCCGGGTCCCCAGCGTGGCAGGGGGACCCCCAAACCCCTCGGGGACCCCCGAACCCCAGGTGCTCTGAGAGCACAGTGCGGGGGGAGCCCTGGCGCTCCCTGGGGACCCTCAAACCCCAGATGCTCCGGTAGCGCGGAGTGGCGGGGGAGACCCACCATCCTTTGGGGACCCCCAAAGCCCCCCGAGGCCCCGCTCCGAGGGCTGCCGGGGACCCGCCCGCCCCGGTTACCTTTGCCGTAGGCGAAGGGGAGGCGCAGGGCGCGGCCCTGGCGGACCAGGCTGATGTGCAGGTAGGTGAACCAGGCGGCCGAGGTGAGCAGCGCCAGCAGCAGCAGCAGCTTCAGCTGCTTCCGGAGCTTCTTCACCGGGAGCCGCGGCATCCTGCCGCCCGCATCGCCCCCGCCGCCGCCGCCGCCACCACCACCACCGCCGGGCTAACCCCGGCCCATGGGGCCCCCCGCCCGTCCAGCCCGCGCGCTCCGGGCCGGCCACGGGGCGGCTGCGGCTCGTGGGGCCGGGGCTCGGTGCGGGGCTCGGCGGCCCCGGGCCCGCCGGTGCATCGCCCCCCCCGCGCCGCGCCCGCGGGGGGAATGAATGAGCCGGCGCTGCGCGCGGCCACGCCCCCGACCAGGAGCGACGGCCCCGCCGGCCAATCGCCGCGCGCCCGCCGCGGGCTCTCCGCCAATGGGCGCACCGCGAGGGCGGGGCCTGCGGAGGCGCCGCGCGTCTCCACGCCAACGGTCCGGCAGCCCCGCGGGGCGCCGCGGACGCGACCATGAGGGGCGCGGGGGAAAACCGAGCCCCCGGGGCTGTCCCTGGCCCTGCTCGGCGGGAGAGCGGGGCGGCGGCGAGGTGGAACCGAACGGGGTATCCGTGCCGAGGACGGAGGGCTCGGCGCGATTAGTCACGCGGGTCTCGGCCGGGTCGCCCCACGACCGCTCCCCCCCGGCGGCGCGGATGGTACGTTCCCGGCCGTCAGCGGCGGGGGCTGCAGCTCCCGGGCCGGTCCGCAGGGGGGCGCTACCCGCAGGCGCGGACCGCACCGGGATCGTCCCGGGAAGATGAGGGCGGGCATCCCGGGATCAGGGTTGGCATTCCGGGATCGTCCCAGCAAGATGAGTGCGGACATCCCTGGGAGCATCCCCCGCTAGGTGCGGGGGTCCCTTGAGGGGTGCGACCCCCAACTCCCACTCGCTGCGAGTCCCATGGGAGCTGGATCCCCAGGATCGCCCCAGCCGGATCCCCCGGGGTCACGGCTCTGCGCCCTCTGCTCATCCCGGCCACAGCTCGGTGCCCCGATCTGCGGGCTGGTTCTTCCCCCTGCCGCTCAGGGCTGGAAAATAACGGGACTTTTCCCTCGCCATCCCACAGGTTGAGGCAGCGTCCCCGCCCTGCTGCGGCTCAGGGTAGGGGTGAAAGCACGGGAGAAATTCGTCATTAAAGGAAGAAACACCCTCACGGCGGGGGAAACTAGAGGGCACCAATGCCCTGGGCTGAGATTCCCAGAAACCAAATCCCAATTTCCAGGGCGGGGCCACGCTCGTTCGGTTTATTTAATCAGAAACACTCCCGGAGTTGCCAGGAAAAGGTTCCAGGACCGCGGATCCTGCGGATTCCGGTGCATTAACACGGTCCAAGCACACCCCGAAGCCTGAGAGGGGGATTCCTTTAAGGTGTGCAGCCCGAGCTTTCCGGGGATCCCAAATGGCAACCCCAAAAAGTGGCAGCCCCTGGCTTTAACCCTGTGTTTTTGGGGGATGGAGGTGGGCTTGGGGCTCTGCAGGATTTGGGGATTTCACAGGGATTAGGGACAGAGAAAGAAGGGGAAAGAAAAAGGGGATAATGAAGGAGCCAAGGGAAAAAAAAGGGGGAAATGAGGAGGGCGAAGGCAGGGGGAAAAGTGAGGAAAAAAGGAAAGGGGAAAGAAAGAAGCAAGCAAAGAAAGGACAAAACGGGAAAAGGGAAGAAAGGGACAACACAGGTGGCCAAAAAAAAAAAAAAAAAAAAAAGGAAAGAATGGAATAAAGGATGAAGGGAGAACAGGGGGCAAAAAAGGTGAAAAAGGTGACAAGGAAAGGGAGGGGAAACAAGGGGCTAAAGAAAGAAAAGGGAAAGAAAACGGTGAAGCAAAAAGGGGGCAAAGAACAGGTAAAGGTGGAGCTAAGGAAGGAAGCTGGCAATAAAGGGGCAACAAAAGAAACTGGGAAATTAGTAAAGAGGAGGATTAGGCAAGGAACGAGGAGAGGGGCCCGGGGTTTCCCCGGCGCCGAGGAGGAGGCTCCCGTGCCTCACAGGGCGTCCGGAGGGGCGGTCTGTTCCCGCTCCGTCCCAAATCTCGAGGAAACGAAACCGCGGCTCTGCGCCCGCCCCGCGGCGCCTCCACCTCCCGGAGCCGCACGCGTTCGCAGGTGCCACCACAGCTGTGCCCCAGCCCCAGGCATGCAGTCGCCGCTTCCGCCCTACGAGGTGCTGCCGACCGACGTGAGCATGGAGGAGATGCCCCGCAGCACCACGGTGGTGGTGGAGGAGACGCGGCAGCAGGAGCAGCAGCCGCCGCCGCGGGACCACCTGGTGTGGTCCCTGTTCACCACCCTGTACGGCAACTTCTGCTGCCTCGGCCTCCTGGCATTCGTCTTCTCCGTCAAGGTGAGGAGCCCGGGGAGACAGCCACCGAGTCCTGGACATCAGGGACACCCTCCGAGCCCTGGACCTCAGGGACACCCTCCGAGCCCCCAGCCCGGGATGCCCCATGGACCTCACTGAGCTCCCGGTCCCAGGGTGACCCATGGACCCCACAAACCCCAGACGAGAGGGTGCCCCAGGGACCCCACAAACCCCAGACCAAAGGGTGCCCCAGGGACCCCACAAAGTCCCCTCTTCATGGAGCCCTGACCCCACAGAGTCCCCTCTTTATGGTGGAGCACTGATCCCACAGAGTCCCCTCTCCATGGAGCACTGGCCCCACAGAATCCCCCCTTTATGGAGCACTGACCAGCACTGACCCCACAGAGTCCCCCCTTCATGGAGCCCTGACCCCAGGGAGTCCCGGCTACGAGTTCTGCAGGGTTTTGGGGCAGGGAGGGCAGTGGGCACCTCAGGGTACCCCCGGTGTTTTGGGAGGGTTCAGCCCTGTCTGGCGCCTCCAGCACCTCTCCCACAGCCCTGAGCCCCCCGGGACCCCCGCACCCCACTCCCCTGACTTTGCTCTGCCTGTCCCCAGTCCAGGGACCGCAAAGTGCTCGGTGACTACAGCGGGGCCCTGAGCTACGGCTCCACGGCCAAGTACCTGAACATCACGGCCCTGGTGATCAACATCGTCATCGTCATCCTCGTCATTGTCTTCGTCTCCCTGGCCTTAGCCGGGGTCTTCAGCCCCCGCCACCCCCCGTACCACCCGTACGGGGGATACGGGTACGGCCGCAGCTAAGTGCCCGCCCTCCCTGCCCTCGGGCTGTGCTTCCCTCCCGGGGCTGGAGCCACAATCCACGACAATCCCGCCTCGCCCGGAGCCCGCTGCTCTCCTGTCCCTGTCCCTCCCCACTCGGAGCTTTCGTGGTGGCTGGAGCTGCCTGGGGATGGACACGGCGCCCCCGAGAGCAGCTGAGCACCCCAGCCCTGCCACAGCCTGCTTGGAGCCCCAGCTGCCTCAAAACAATGCTGAGGAGGAGCGCCTGGCTCAGAGAATCCTTGCTCTCTGAAATAAAAGTTTCTTTTACTTTTGCCGTGTCTCGGTTTCGTATCATTGAGGATGTGGTTTGGGGTTTGCTCTGCAGCAGCTTGGCAGGATGAGAAACGGGGTCAGCCCGTGGGATGGGCCTGGGGGAGGAGGTGTTTGAGGGTCCCGAGAGATGAGAATCTTGACTGCATGCTTCAGAAGGCTGATTTATTATTTTATGTATTATATTTTTTAAAAGTTATATACTAAAGCTATACCAAAGAAAGAGAAAGGAGACATCAGAAGACTATCGAGGAAAGGAATGATAGCAAAATCTTGTGACTGACCAGAGAGACAACACAGCTGGACCTGTGATTGGTCATCAAGTAGAAACAGTTCGTGTGAGACCAATCAAAGATGTACCTGCCGCATTCCACAGCAGCAGATAATTATTGTTTACATTTCTTTTCTGAGGCTTCTCAGGAGAAAAATCCTAGCGAAAGGATTTCCATAAAATGTGTCAGTGACACCTGAGGGAGGTGGGAAGTGTCCCCCATCACGGAGACACTGCTCAGGGGACACCCCAGGCACCCTGAACCTGGCTCCTGCATCCGCACGGGCAGTGAAGCTCCTGGAAGGGTCACACGAGGGTGAGAGTGGGAGCTGATCCCTGCTGGGTGTCACCAGGAGCACCCCCATCCTCACCGGCCCTCAGGAGGGGCTGGCAGCAAGCAGAGCTGAGGGCAAGCTGGCTTTGGGGGGGCAGGACATGCAAAGGGCTTGAGCAGGATGAGCTGGAATGGGACTGAGCGGGGCTGGAGAGGCTCCCAGAGGGAAGGGCCGGTGGGTTCTGCACCTCCATCCCCAATCACCCCACCAGGGCTGGATTGCCCATCTCCCCCTGCAGCCAGGGGAGCTGGGATCCTCTGTGCGATGCTCACTGCCCCCATCCCACGTGCCTGGAGCCCGGTTTGCCTGGGCACGGCCGCCCATGTGCCCGCAGCAGCAAGCAGGGCACGAATTCCGTGTCCCGCCCGGCTGCCATGCGCAGCCTTCGCTTTCGCTATCAGCTCATCCCAGCCCGCAGCTCCCTCCCTTTGTGCTCCAGATTCCCTCCTCATCCCACAGCGCAGCGAACTGCGGCCAGAGGGAGCCGCACCAAGCACCAGGAGTCCCTCCCTGTCCCTGTCCCTGTCCCTGTCACTGGCTGGCAGGGCGGGATCCTCACACTTCGAGGCTGCCGCACGTGTCCCTGCCTGCCCGGCCCCGGAGTGGCCCCGGAGGCGACGTGGGCAGCCCTGGCCCAGCCCGTGTGGCAGAGCCCCGGCCCTGCAGCTGGCCTGGCTCCCCCTTGCCCTGGGCACCCCTGGCCCTCGGCAGGGCCCGGTCCCGGGGGCTGGGGCCCCGCACGGAGGGGAACAAAAGCGCGATTTTGCCTCTCCCCACGAACACGGGGCTCCTGCCAAGACGCCACTCGTAAGATGTCAGAAATCCCACTCACAAACACAGCGGATATTTGTTGCAGGATCGCTGGCACGGAGCCTCCGGTGAATCATTTTCTGCTCTGCTTTTTTCCCGGAAAACACGGGCTCCTTGCTGCACAAGGAATCCGCTGCCTGCCCGGCCCCAGGCTCGGCCTGCCCAAAACCAGCGCAGCCAATGGGAACTCAGGCCAGCAAAGGCCACTGCTCCAAGATCCCCATTTCCTCCTTCTCCCTGTTTTTTATCAGCAGTTTCCGGCACAAATCTAAAGGGCAACCCCACACAAGCCGACACGGAAAGAATTGACCCTTTCACATCCCAAAACAGCCACAGGCAAAGCCTTCCTCCCTCCCTCCTGTGACCACCCCAGGCTGCCATGGACAGCTCCCGCAGCCCACCTGCCACCCAAACTCGGGAGGAGAACAAAAACTCTCCAGCACGACGCTTGCAGTGACAGAGAATGAGGCATTGCCTTGTCCTGGCCAGGACAGGCCATGGAAAACATTCCCATCCACGCATAGTTCCTTACATGGTGTTTCCCATGTCTACACGGACAAAAAGCCAAAGAAATTCCCGTTCAGACGTCTTAAATTACACTTAGAAATTGCACTGACACTTAAGAATTACAATTCTTAGTATTAGATCTCCTATCAGTTCTTGATCCCTTCACCTTCGAACCCTATTTTTCGGTTCTCTCAAGGATTCATTTCCCAGACAGGGAGGCGATGTTGGTTAATGGTCGCTAATGGTCCCTAGTATTCGCTAATGTTCTCTAATGCTCTTATGGCAACTCCCAATCTGTGCGTGTTCAGATCACGGCCCTCTCCGGATGAACAGAATCTTTCGAAGAAAAACTTGATTTCCCCTCCCCTTTGGCACAGGCGAACAAAATCATGATTAATGTTGCATTAAAAAAAATTAAATTTTTATCATTTCAAACATCCCCTCCAGTCCCCTCGGAGTCCTCAGGGCTCTCCCAAACCTCTCTAAGCCCCCCAGGGTCCCCAGGGCTGCCCTGCACCCCCAGCCTGCGTGGGCTGGGGGTCCCAGCGGGCCGTGCCCCTCCTCCCCCTGCGGGGCGGTGCGGGGCCGGTCCCCCGCCCTGAGCGAGCTCCGCTCCCGTTCCCGGCGCTCATTCCCGGCCATGGAGCCCCGGCAGGCGGACGTGTCCATCCCGCTGCAGTCCTCCGGCTGGGGGGCGGCCGCCCCCGGGCCCCGCTCCGAGCCGCAGCCCCGGGACTACGTGCTCTGGTCGGTGTTCAATGTGCTGCTGTGGGGCGCGCTGGCCGGGCTGGGCTGCTGCGGCTTCCCCGCGCTCGTCTGCTCCGTCAAGGTGAGGGAGGGGCCGGGGACCCCCGCCAGACCCGCCCCGGATCGAGCCCCGATCGGCCCCGGGACCCCAACCAAGACCGACCCCAGCCAGACCCTCCCGGGGCTCCCCGGGCCCGGCCGAGCCCGGCACGGGAACCCCGACGTGTCCCGGCTCCATCCCCACTCCGGAGCCCCGACCCAGCCCCGCCCGGACCTTCCCCTCACCCGGGGATCCCCCGGCCCTCCCTGACACCCCCGCTCCTCTCCCCCTGCCCACCTCCCTCCAAACCCCTCTCCCATCACCGGATCCCCTCTCCCATCCCGAACCCCCAGTCTGGTCTCCCATCCCCGATACCAGCCCTCCCCGGGACCCACAAAGCCACACTGTGCCCCCCATGGGACCCCCAAAGCCGTGTTCCCCCCCAAGACACCCAAAGCCGTGTGCCCATCCTGGGACCCCCAAAGCCACACTGTAACCAACCCGGGACCCCCAAAGCCGTGTCCCCACCCCGGGACCCCCAAAGCCACACTGTCCCCACCCCGGGACCCCCAAAGCCGTGTGCCCCCAGCCCCCGCTGGCCTCGCCCCGTGCACCGGGTGACACCCGCGTCCCCAGGCTCCCAGCACAACCTCGCGGCCACACGGGGGGCTTGGCCCCCCAATCTGCGCCCCACACACCCCGAGCCCCCCGCTTGCCCCCCAGGCCCGTGACTGCAAGCTGTCGGGGGACCTGGAGGGTGCGCGGCGCCACAGCCACCGCGCCAGGGTGGCCAACATCGTCTGCTCCGTGGCGGTGGCCCTCGTCTGGCTCATCTTCATCATCATCGCCGCCACCTTCATGTCCCGATTCAGGCACACCTGAGCGGCGCCGGCCCCACCCGCGGGGTGCTGCCCCCTCCTCCTGCCTCCAAAATGCGCCCGCCCGAGGCGCGGGGGCGCAGGGAGTGACCCCGCTGTCCCCGCTGTCCCCGCACGGCCGCGGGACGGGACGGGACGGGGCGGCCAGGCTGGGGCGTGGGGGACAGGGGACAGCCCCCCACTCCCCCGCTTGGCTGCGCTCACACGCTCCCTGGCACCTGTGACACACCTGTGGGTCACCGCTGCCGCCGATGGAGTTGTCCCCTCACTGTCACCTCCTCCACCGCGGGACATCGCGGAGAGAGAGTCCTCGGGCATCCTTGCGGCCTCCTCCTCCTCCTCCTCCTCCTCTTCCTCCTCCTGCTGCTCCCATCCCTGCCTCCATCCCGCCGCGGAGCAGGGCGCTTGCAGCCCAAATCCCATCTGGGGTGTTATAGATACGTATTATAATATTGGCTTTTCGCAAATGTTAAAATGGATTTTATATGTGTAGCGTTATAACAAAGTTATACACCACACATTTTATACGTGTAGTGTATAACTCCGTTATAAATATATAGTTTTTATTTCTGCTGTTAATTAAGCTTGGGCATAGTAGTAAAACAGCTAAGATAAGCATGCTTCTGTTAAAATGCCTGCTTAGATGAGATAACATCCAATAAACAAATAAAAAAAGACTCCTGCTTACAGATATACCGAGTATCAACCCTCATCATCTAGAGACAGTGTGGGCCAAACCAAAACTAAAAATAATAATAAAAAAAAAAAAAAAACACGACCAAAAAATGCACATACTCTAAAAAAGTAAAACCAGAAAAGAGTCATAGTAAACAATCCTTAAAATATGCAAACTAGTTTAAGAAAAAAGTTTACTGTACATCAGAGTCTATAAATATACAACGGGCTGATATTAGAAAAAAACGTGTTTAAGAAGCGTCTCCGGAGATAACAGGGTGCTCTTAACTGAGCACCAAGACACGCCCAGCCGTAATCTTTGCTCCTTATCTCCTACTATCCTTTATTAAACTTCTAAAATTTTCACAAGAGAATAAAAGCGTTTTCCACGTTGGAGATGGCAAGAAAAGGAAATCAAAGCCCCTCCGCGTGTCCTGCCCGCTCACCCTGCAGCCCGGGTGCCGGGGATCCCCGCGGGTGCTGCTCTTCCACTTTTCCACACTTGCTTCCCACTCCACCCATCCCAGCGCCCAAAGGTGCTGCCGAGGGGGGTCAGCCCTGCCCAGCTCACCTGGAGCGGGGTTTGGAGGTGCCTGTGCCAGCCGGGGCTCCGCCTCGCAGCGCTCCTCATCCCGGGAGGAAGGCTGGGCTCGCCATCCCTGCGGGACAACCGCATCCCTCAGGGCTGTAATTTCCCGAGTTTATATTTAGCGGAGCAGGGATATAAAAGGGGCGCTGCCGCCGGAGCCGCGGGGTCCCTCTCCGTGCCACCATGGACACCTCGTACCCGCGGGAGGAGCGGCCGCGCCCCAAGCGGGGGTCGCCCCCCGCCGCCCCCCAGGCGCCCCGCGACCACCTGCTCTGGGCCATCTTCAACACCCTCTACATGAACTTCTGCTGCCTCGGCTTCGTGGCGCTCGCCTTCGCCGTCAAGGTACGGCCCCAGAGCGCTCGGGGCTCGGGAGGGACGGGAGGGATGCCCAAGGAGGCAGCGAGCGCTCGGGAAAAGTCCCGGAGGGGCTGGGGCGGGCAGATCCCAGCTCTCCACAGGCGGTGGCACCTGCCGCTGGTGAATCCTCCCTGCTCTTCCTGCCACCGATTCCGGAGGCTGGAATAACCGCAGCCCCCTGCCCAGCGCCCGAGGAGCAGCTGTGTGATCCTAAAAAATGCCATGGGGGGCGGGATTTCACCAGCACCCCCCCGGCAGGAGCAGCTGGGGAAAAATGGGGACAAGCAGGGACTGGGGTCAGAGAGGCTCTGGAGGTAGCAGGAGGGAAAACAGGAGAGAGAATTGCAGTTCCAGCAGGGCTAGACTGGGACAGAAAAATGGGGACAGGCAGGGACTGTGGTCAGAGAGGCTCTGGATGAAGCAGGGAGGAAAAAAACAAGTGGGAAAGGATGCAGAGCTGGAGGGGAGCAGGAGCAGCCTGGGATGGATGGATGGATGGATGGATGGATGGATGGATGGATGGATGGGTGGATGGGTGGATGGATGGATGGATGGATGGATGGATGGATGGATGGTTGCAAGGGGAACAAAGCCCTGGAGCAGGAATGGCTGAGGGAAAGAGCTGCAAGAGGGGGCCTTGGGAAGGGGATGAGGGAAAGGGCTGTGGGAAGGGGCTCTCCAAAGGGGCTCAAGGAAGGGGATGAGGGGAGGGGCTTTGAAAAGGGCTGTGGGAAGGTTCTCCAAAGCAGCTGAGGAGAGGGTCTTTGGAAAGGAGCTAAGGGAAGGAGCTGTGGGAAGGGGCTGAGGGAAGGGGGCTTTGGAAAGGGCTGAGGGAAGGGGCTGTGGGAAGGATCTCTCCAAAGGGGCTGAAGGAAGAGGCTGAGGGAAGGGGCTGAGGGAAGGGGCTGAAGGAAGGGGCTTTGGAAAGGGCTGAGGGGAGGGTCTGAGGGAAGGCTCTCTCCTCGGCTGCTGCAGGCTCGGGACAGGAAGGTGTCCGGGGACGTGGAAGCCGCTCGTCACTTCAGCTCCAAGGCGCGGTGCTACAACGCGCTGGCCACGGCGGGCAGCGTGGTGCTGCCCCTGCTGCTCGGGGCCCTCATTGTCACCGGCGTCATCCACCTCTCCAAGCTGGCCCAGGACTCCGTGGGCTTCTTCACCTACCAGCTCAGCGGCAGCGACGACGAGGACCAGTGACCCCGGGTGGTGGCACCTCCTCTGCTCCCAAAAGGCCACCGTCCCTGTCTGCCACCCCCCACCCCCCAAGCCCCGTTATTTTTGTTTATCCTGTGGGATTTTTTACCTCCCGTTATCCCGTGTGGAGCCCCAGTTTCTGTTGTTGCTATTTAAATCATTAAACGCTTCACACAGCGCGGGTTTCTGCATGTGGGAAGGGGCAGGGGGGTGCCAAAGGGAAAACATAAATTGGGATTTTTGGCTCTGATGGGGCTCCTGGCAGCCAGTCGACACCATTGTTCCCACAGCCTTTAGGGCCACCTTTGGCCCCAGGACTGAGGAGGGGAGGAAGCAGAGACGCTCCTGGGTCTCGTGGGGGCAGGATGAAGCAAACGGCGTGTCCCCTTCCCAAATGGGTGTCCCCTCCCCACCCCAAACGGAGCTGAGACCTGCAAACCCATTGCAGCGACACTGACACCCCCAGCCAGGACAGGGGGGGGTCGGGAAGCGCCCCCAGTGCTCCCTGCTCTCCGTGCCTGGGCTGGAGACAGCTCATTTTGGGATAAGGGACCCCTTTTTGGAGGCTGAATCCCCTTTTAGTGCCGACTAGCCCTGGCTCCAGCGGGGCCGCATCCCAGCCCCATCCAAATCCCAACCCCGGTGCAGTGCACAGGGCTGGGGACAGCACGGTCCCTTTGTCGTGCCAAGAGCTGCCGCTAATTAGGGGCTGGCTCTACTTAGGGGCTGGCGGCTCTGATGAGGCTGGAGCAGGACCCGAGTAATTACAGGGCAGCGGGAACGTCCCTGCTCCAGCCCTGAGCATTCCCAGATGCCTCGGGGCACGGAGCAGCCGCGGGGCTTTTTATAAACCGGGCCGAGATTCCTGGGGTTGGCCTGGCCGGGACAAAGCCCTCGGGGCTGGGAACGCCCCCGACATTCCCTGAATCCCACCCAGGATGGGACAGGGAGGATGGAGAGAGGAGGAGGATGTGCAGCCAAGAGCCAGGGGCTGGGAGCACCGAGCCCGCCCTGGGCAGGCACGGGAATTCCTCGGGATTCCTGGGACACCAAACACCGTGTGCCAGGGCAAAACCACAGCAGCTCTGTGCTCAGGCTGCCCTTGCCTCCCTCGGACAGGATAACGCCGCAGATCTCTGGTGTCCAGGCTTCCTGCAGCCCTTCAGATGCCAAATGAAAAAGGATTTAACTCTACAAGTGCTTGAAAAGAGAGGGAATAACGTAGATAAGGGTTTAAAAGCATGTGAGGGATGTTACACACCAAATAACAGGAGTGCAGCTGTGTGCTGCCCACACGGGGTTAAAAGGCTTTCTGCTGCATATTTTGGAGTAATACTTAGTGCCAAAACATCGTTCATCTGGTGCAACAGCACTGGCTGAGCCTGCACAGCCCTTTGAGCCCACAGAGCAACACATGGGGAAAGCAAGGAGCAGCTGGAGGAGCTGGAGTCAGGATCCTGGAGTCAGGAATGGGCTTCCTTACAAACACAAACATGCTGAGAGCATAAACAGCTCCTGGGTGTTCAGCAAACACATTTGAAAGGGACGTTTTCAGGCTTGGTTTCCTCTCCTGTGCTGAGTAAGAGATGTGTGGAGGGGAGTGGGGGGCTCAGACGCGGTGACAGCTCCAGCCCCTGACCCCTGGGGCCACAGGGACAGGTGGCACACAGGGGCAGGTGGCACACACAGCCCTGGGGGGGCAAAGGGCTCCTGGCACAGCCTGGCACCCCCTTTCCACCCCCTGCACCAACATCCCGGATCCGCTGCTCCAGAGGGCAGCTCCTGGATCAGGCAGGGCTCAGGGGGTGCTGCTGGGCGACCTCTGGATCCATCCAGGCGCTGTGGGGAAGGAGACACTCTGCCCTGCAACAGAAGAGCTTTGTGTGAGGGATGGGGATGGTTTCTCCCCAGGTTATTTCAGGGAGCAGGTGCAGGCAGTGCTGCCGTACCCTCCCACAGGGGAAAGCGCTGTCCCGACTCCAGCACAACTTCCAGGGGAGGAGCTGGAGGGTCCCAGGAGGCCTCAGTCACTGCCATCCTCATCTCCTCGCTGGTGATGGTGACCTCCAGCCTGTTGCCCAAGTAGGAGATGCTGGAGAGTTTCAGCTTGGTGATACCGTCGGGAAGCACAGGATCGAAGAGGAGGCCGGACCTGGTGATCCTGGAAAGGCAGGAGCAGTCAGGGGCAACAGCAGGAGCCACAGAGGAGCCCAGCTCGGGGTCAGGGTCAGGGAGCAGCCGCCTCTCCAGGCATCACCACCTCACACACACCAGAATGCATCCAAGGAGCTGCTGGGGCTCTGATTCCCAAGACATTCCTGTCCCATCCCAGTTCCACAGCTGGGGCCTGGGCTTTCCAGATTTCATATTTTAGAAACTCAGCCCAATTCCCTGCTCTTGGCTCCAGCAGCAGCTGTGCTGGCAGAGCCTGGGGAATGCCCTGCTCCTCCTGCTCCCAGAGCAGGGAACCCTCACACACCCACCTCAGCTCCCATTCCCATGGGATGGAGGGATGGGAGCTCAGCAGGAAATGCAGGCACAGGGAGCTCCCAAGGCTCAGAGATAGAGATGGATGCAGGGCTTGACCTAAGGCCTCGGAGAAGAGGCTTGAAGGTTTAGAAAAGAAAAGTGAAACAGACACAAAGTAAGAATTAAGATTTGTAGTTGAAGCAGAAATGTGTTTTAAGCAAGCAGAAAAATGCCTCATGGAAGTGAATAAATATGTTAAGTGAGGTAGTAGAAAATTTTAAAGTCTAGCAGTAGAACTTGTTATAGAGCTGGCAAAAAGTAGAATATCCAGCAATAAGTGTCTGGAGAGTTGTATGATTGGATAGAAAGAAGCACATTGCATCAGAGTCCTGTAAAATGTAGCAACGATTTCCAGCAGTTTGCTGTCATTTGCAGCAATGATAGCAAATTAATGATTGGGTTATGAACATCCTGGTGAGCTTTGTAGAAGTAGCTGATTGAGGAATATATAAGATATGATAAGAAATATATGATAAGAAATATATAAAAGACATTGCAACTAAAATTAAAACGCCTTCTGATGTGCTGGCACTGAATGTCGGTCTCAGCCTTCCATGAGACTGATTTTGCAATAAATAAACCATCTTTCAATTGCCTCATCGGTTGACCCTGTCTGCTCTGTATCCCCAGCAGTGCTCCCTCCCCAGAAACAATGGAACAAACATCCCAACCCAGCCCTGAGCCAAGGCCAAGCTGCCTGTGTGGGCGTTGGCTTTGGGTGAGGAAAAACAAGGGCCCCTCTTGTCCCCGGCCCAAATTCTGCACTCCAGAGCGCTCCCCGAGCAGCTCCAAAGGCTGAGAGGGCTGCAGAGGCTGCAGGGGGCTCAGGGGAGCCCCAGCACTGCACAGGATCCGTGTCCCATGGAGGGAAAGGCAGGACTGTGGTTGTACAATGTCACCGCCACCTCTGGAACTTGGCCAGAGCCACAAAGCTGTGGCTTGAGCCTGTGCCACCAGGGGCCTGACCAGCACACACTGGGCACCTGGAGACCTCCCAGCTGGGCCAAAGCCCAGATTTCCAGCTGGGAATATGGGAGCTCACACCCAGCTCCACCAGGGGATGGGGAACGGGTGGCTTTTCCAGCTGGGAATGGGGCAGCTCACACCCAGCTCCGCCAGGGAATGGGGAGGGATTCCCAGCAGCTCTGGCCACACACATGGAGTGAAAATACATGGTTAGGGCTGGAAGTTTTCAGTGGGAATCAAAAGGCTCGATCCAGCCTCAATTAAACCAGGAACAGGCTGAAGAGACGGCGGCTCCAGGGTGGAAACCACCACGGCTCTGAAATTACATGAACAGCTCCATGTTTTCCCGGGATATTTTAAAGCTGAGGCGATGCCTGCCCAGCACTTGGCTCCAGGGAGGCTGCAGGAGGTGTTTCCTCACCACATCCAAAGGAGACAGGAGGATGCTGCTGCCGAAGCAGAGATGTCCTGGATTGTCAAGCAAATTTATTCTATTTGCCACCTGTATGGCAGCTATCTTCTGTTAAGTGGGCAGTTTTCCTTATCTCCTCCATAACTATTCCGAGGAGACATCTGCTGATAACAGCTATTGAATGTCACTGCATGGCTGATAAGAGCTACAGCATCCCATTGTGAGATGTGAGCCCAGAGGGGAGAGACAAGCATTCCTACTGGAGATACAATCTGGAGCTTCTGGAACACCAACACTGGCTTCTCCACTGGATTCCCCAGAGGAACAGCAGCTGCCTCTGCTTCCACTGGCTCTTCAGAGGAAGAGACTGCACCTTTCTACAGGATCCCTGCTCCAGCAGAACCAGCCCTGACACTGCAGGAGGGCTGAGCCACAATTCCAATGGGACTGCTGCCAACACCCTGACCCACAGGGTGTCAGGTTGGGTTTTGACTCTGTCAGTGTTGTTTTAGTGTACTGCATTGCTTGTTTTATCTTTTTATTTTCTTCCCCCTTAAAGAACTGTTATTTCCTGCTCCCATATTTTTTGCCTGAGAGCCCCTTAATTTAAAATTTATAGCAATTGGGAGGGGTGGGGAGGGTTTACATTCTCCATTTCAGGGGAGGCTCCTGCCTTCCTTAGCAGACTCCTGTCTTTCCAAGCCAAGACAGACTGCTACCAACCCACAGGGCGTCAGGTTGTATTCTGACTCTGTCAGTGTTGTTTTAGTTTATTGCATTGGTTGTTTCATACTTTTATTTTCTTCCCTATTAAAGAACTGTATTTCCTGCTTGTATATTTTTTGCCTGAGAGCCCCTTAATTTAAAATTTATAGCAATTTGGAGGGAGAGGCTTTACATTTTCCATTTCCTGCCTTCCTTGGCAGGCACCTGTCTTTCCAAACCAAGACAAGAGAACAGGCTTAGGGAATGGAATTTTGCTTCCCAAATGTGACCTGTCATGAGCTCTTACCTGGGAACAGGTAAGAGCTCCAGCCAAACAGGGACATTTTAAGGGACAAGTGGTTGCTTGGGAGTTAACAGTGACACAACAGGTCTCACCTGAACCCCGTGAAGCCGAAGAGGACGACTTGCAGGAATCCACCCATCCCTGTCAGGAAGTTCACAGCTCCCGACCCATCCGCGTTCTCCACCCAGACCTGACCAGCAGGAGAAAGAGGTGATGCAGGAGTTGGGTTGGGATGCCACCTGCCTGGGAGCAGGAGGGACCTGCAGCCCCTCCACTCACCTTGAAAGGCTCTGTGATGTTGCTGAAGCACTTTTCCAGCTGGCTCCAGGCTCTCTGTGGCTCCTTCAGCTCCAGCCAGCCCACGGCAAACATGCTCTGCCGGAGGGGGACGGTGACAGCGCGGTGGAGCAGCACCACCTCCCTCCCCTCCATCCAGAGGGAGCGGCTCCAGGGCACATCCCAGCTCGGCACTGTGCCCTGGATGGAGCCCCCGCTCCCAGGGGAGAGTCCCAGGCCGGGCTCTGCCCTCTCCTCACCCAGGTCATGGCTGGCCCGGCCGGGTCCGTGACGGGCTCGTACATCTCCAGGTCGTTCCTCCGCACCTCGGCACTCATGGGGTGCATCAGTGGGAACCCCAGCAGGACCACATCTGCCTGCTTCACCGGCTCACCTGTGGACAGGGCTGCTCAGACACCTCCCAAATTTCCTAAATTTTTGAGCCCACTGATGAGAAACCATCCAGTGAGGCAGGAAAACCACCCATCTTGTTGCACTGCAGCAACAGCAGGGACTCTTCTTCTGCCATTCCCAATGGAATTCTGATCCTTCCAGGATTAAAAATGTGATCCATGGGCTGAGCCACCTCCATGGGCTGCTGCCCCTGCCTCCCCGCTCACCTGGGCTGTAGCCATCGTACTCAGGGTGGTATTTCCTCTCCTCATCAAAGGGCACTTTGATTTTCCTGGCACGGTCCTCCCACTCCTCTGGCACCTGGAGCAGCAGGTCCCGAGCCAAGTCAGCAGCAAAATTTAAGCTGGAAAGAAGGAGGAGCAAGGTTTTATGTCAGGGATGGGTGCTGGTGAGAGGAGAGAGGGGACAGAAGGAGCTGCAAGTGAAAGCTGCTGTGAAAGAACAAGGGGCAGGGATTGAGCCAGGGATAAGAGATCCTATCACAGAGCTGGGAGCTCCTTTCCCTGGCTCTGGGTGTCTCCAGCTGGCCAACAGCACAGACACCCCAGGAATGCCCAGGGAGAAGCCCTGCTGTGGATGGAGATCCCTCCCAGCCCCACATGGGCACCGAACAGGTCAGAGGAGCCGGGGGAGCCCCCACTCTCCCTGTGACTGCAGAGGGGAGTGAGGGGAGGGAGGAAGGATCCCCTCGGGATCCTCACTGCTCCCACCCCTGCAGGGTGCCAGGGGGAAGAGCAGAGAGCCAGGCCAGGCTCCCAGGTGGGACCCCAAGCATTACCTGCGCCGGGCCACGGCGTTGGTGTAAGCAGAGTTGTCCACCTGGCTGTGGTACTCATCTGGGGGCATGACACCTGCGGGGACAGCAGGGGACACCTGGCACCCCAACACACCCGGGGCTGCTCTGGGCCCCTCCTCGGGGACACGGTGGGGAAGGGGACCCTGCTGCCCAAATGGATCCTGCTGGCAGGATCCCACACAGTCCCAGCGGGATGCTCAGTGGGGAACACGCACGGTGCTCTGTGGGAAATGGAAAGATAGAAACTTCCACAGATGCAGGAAGGTTTAATTTGCAGCCTTGGAAGGAGCTTGGATTGATGTAAAAATAAAGTATGCAGACATTAAGTAGAAAAATCAACTTATGCTTCTATAATCATAAGTAAGAATAAGCCTTAAGTAAGAAACTATTGATAAAATGGTGAAGGGTATATAAGGTAAGAGTGTAATTGTATAGAGTTTAGATGTTACAATAGGGGTGTGTGTGTACATAAAATAACAGCCTGCTGGTTAAAAGTATCCACACTGCAGCAACAGTAAGTAAAGGTGACAGGTTAGAAAAGCAAAACATGCTCTGTAGCGATAGTCCATTGGATAAGAGAGTTATATATCATCTTGTAAAGTTATATATTGTCTTGTAACAAAGAACTTTTGACTATCTGGAGCTATGGCTGACTGCTTGCTGTCTCAAAATCTCACAGCCTCTGAGACTGACGTCTATTTAAACAATAAATTGTCTTTAGTCCTTTAGACTGATTTTAGCCCTGTCCCTTTAATTAATGCAGTGACAGTGACAGTGCTGAAGCAGGAACAACCCGGGGTGCAGCTCTGGCTGGTGCATGCAGGCACCTCATCCTCAGGGCAGCCTGAAGGGCACCTCCAAGCCATGGAACCCCAGGGTGGTTTGGGTTGCCTTAAAGCTCATCCAGTTCCATGGGCAGGGACACCTTCCACTAGACCAGGTGGCTCCAAGCCTCTGCTTTCCACCCCATTGCCACGGCAGAGGTACCTCTGATGTGGTAGAGCTGCTCCTCCTCACTCCACACCATCCTGCTGCACCAGTACTGAGCCACGGCTTCCACCAGCTCCCAGCCCCCGTCCTCCCGGAACAGCTTCAGGTCCTGGGGAAAGACAGGGGCATGAGGGGGAGACTCCACCAGGCCCAAAGCCAGCAGGAGGATGGAGAGGAGCTCTGAGGAGGCGGAGGGAGCAGGAGGAAAGACTGGCCTGGTTTGAGCCGACAGCATGCTGAGACGCCCACAGGAGCAAGGGCAGAGCAGGCAGGGCTGCAGGAGGGAGCCTGCGGAGCAGAGAGAGCAGAGTTCCTCAGGGAAGGGACAGTGACAGTGTCCAGGTGTCCTGCCACCGGGCCATCAGGCGGAGCACCGTCCCTTTACCTGCGTGGTGCAGTAATACTGCTCGAAGGCCATCAGGACATCCCCGCTGATGTGGATTTCCTGCGCTCCGTAGATCTCCTCAGGACACACCTCCCGGCCCGTGGCTGCGCTCTCCCACGGGAACTTCGCGCCCTGCCAGAGAAGGCATCCATGAGCACATCGCCCTGTGCTGTGTCCCGCTGAAACAGCCCGGGACTGCCCTGGGGACAGGGACAAGTGCCACCCCAGCCCAGGATTCCTCTGGGGATAGGAATTGGTGCCACCCCAGCCAAGGACTCCCCTGGGGACAGGGACAGGTGTCCCCCCAGCCCGGGATTGCCCTGGGGACAGGGGCAGGTGCCACCCCCGCCCGGTGTCCCCTGGGCACAGGGGCAGGTGCCACTCCAGCCTAGTGTCCCCTGGGGACAGGAGTTGGTGCCACCCCCACCCGGTGTCCCCCTGGGACAGGAGTTGGTGCCACCCCAGCCCGGGATTGCCCTGGGGACAGGGACAGGTGTCACCCTGCCCGGTGTCCCCTGGGCACAGGGACAGGTGCCACCCCCGCCCGGTGTCCCTGTCGCACCTCGTATCCCTGTTCGCGCGCGTTGCGCCTGGCGCCCTCCAGCGTGCGGATGCGGTAGTGCAGGATGGCGCGGGCAGCCCCGGGATGCAGCAGCAGGATATTCGGGAACATCCAGGTGTCCTGCGGGGCCGCCGGCGGGATTGGCTGGGGGGAGGCATCCGAATGCTCCCGCCAGCTTCACCCCTCAAGCACACCCTCATCCCGATGGAAGGATGGAGTCTCCTCCATCCCACTGGCCGTGCCAAGCCCCCAGCTCAGCACAGCTCCCCTCACCTGGTCCCAGAAGACGTGTCCCCAGTAGTCCTCGCCGCGGGTGCCGTTGGACAAGCCGCCGGGGCTGATGCCGTGGAAGGGCACTCCGGGGCTGTCCCGGGGCGGGAGGGCGCTCAGCAGGTAGTAGAGGCAGCCGTGGAGCGCCTGGCGCAGGGCCGGGGGCCCGTCCAGCTCCACGGAGCAGCCGCGGCGCAGCGCGGCCCAGGCGCGGACGTGGGAGCGGAGCAGGGAGCCCGCGGCCGCCAGCGACAGCCCCGCGCTGTAGCTGCGCTTCGCCTCCTCCTCGCTGCCCGCCACCGCCGTCAGGAACTGCCAGCACCGCTCCCGCTCCCCCCCGCCCAGCGTCAGCCCCTGCGGGATGGGGGTCCACAGCATGTGCACGGTGGGACGGGGGCCCCCCTCCACCTCGGGAACCAGCGTCTGCCCGTAGATGTAGCTGTGGGAGACGGGAAGCGGTTGGGGAAGGTGTTTCTTCCCAGTGTCCCATCTAACCCTGCCCTCTGGCAGTGGGAAGCCATCACAAACGGCCTCTGGAACCAGGAATTCTGTTCTAGAGGTCACATCCTACAAATCTCCTGTTTTCACCAACCTCACTTCTTTGGAATCACATCTAGCCCTGTCACCTTCACCACCCTCACACATCAGAGTGAGGGATAATTCTGGAGTAGCAAGTAATAAAAATATTTCTATGCTTCATTTCAGGGTCTTTTAAATACACTTACCAGGACGAAGCAGGTGTGAGAAGCCTCTACAACCCTCACCGTTCCAGCCCCACACCCCCCTCACCATTCTATCTCTACATCCTTCAGCATTCCAACCCCACACCATTCACCATTCCAGCCCCACACCCCTCACCATTCTGGCCTCACCATTCCAGCCCCACATCTGCAGTTTATTCCCAGGGGAGAGCAGGGCACTGCACCACAGCCCACAGAAGGTGAGCTCAGGGCAGGGACCCCCATTCCTCACACTCACTGTGCTCCCTGGAAGTCTGGGCCTGAGCTCAAGTGCAGGTCCTGGCTCTGTGGCTCGAACAGGCTCTGGAGCTGGACGGTGACGGGATGTGTGGAGCCATCCAAGCGCCGGATGGTGACACTGGAGGCCATCAGGTGCACCAGGGAGTGGTGGGCGTACAGCTGCTGCGTGGCCGTGTAGCCAGGGCACTGAATGGTGTGGCTGAAGGTCCCTGCAAGCACAGCCAGAGCCACCAGCCTTTGGAAACACTTGGATCCTGCCCTATCCACTGGTTCCTACTGGCCAAGGAATTGCTTTTCCCAGGATCAGACCCAGTTGTGGACTGGAGAACACCACTGACAGCGAGCCTGGCCAAGCTGCTGAGGGACGGTCTGTGCCATCAAACATGATTAAAGAGCGTGTGCCGAGCCTGGCCCCAGCAGGGATAGAGCTAGAGCCTGAAAATCACTTATCCCACACAAAAGGTGGATTTTCCGCTCGTTCCAGAGGAGCAGCGCCCCGAGGCGAACGGAGAACGGGGAGAAGGAGGGTGTGACTGAGCACAAGAGGCAGCAGAAGCAGAGAGAACGGAGCCCTGCAGAGCCCTGGGGAGGTGCCGGCTCCGCGCTCACCTGTCCAGGTGTCGAGGGCGAAGCTCTGGGCGGCTCCGGGCGCTGCCATGCGCAGCCCCAGCGGGCTGGGGACATCGGCGCGGTGCGTGTCCCCCGCGGCGCCGCTGTACACGCCAGCGGCGTGCAGGATGTCCCGGAACACGCGGGTGCCCAGCAGGGCGTTGGTCACCGTGGGCAGCAGCCGCGGGTCCCCGGGCAGGGCCGTGGCCGTGAACACGCCGGGGTCGCCCTCGCCATCGGCCATCGCCCACCTGCGGACCGCAGGGATGGGATGAGAGCTGAGGGGACAAAGTCAGCTCCCTGTCACCTCCTGTCTGCCACCAGCGGTCTCTGCCCCTTTTAGTGTCCCCTCTGTCACCTCCAGCGGTTTTCCCCCATCCCAGCTTCCTCCCAGCCCTGGGGTGCATCCCCTCTGCTCCCTCCCCATCTCCAGCTGTCCCAAATCCCGACGGATGAAGGACGAAGCTCACGGGCTTCATCACTTCTCAGCCTCCTCCCTCTTCCTCTTCTGATGCTGGGATGGGGTTGCACCAGTTTCTCCCAATACACAGAGAGACACCTTCCCCATCTGGCCTCCTCTTCCTCCCGGTGCTGTTCCGTGACACTTTGAAAAGTTCCTGATACTTCCCCCTCTGTCATCTCACTGCACCCCTCTGTTCCCTTCACTCCTGCATCTCCAGCTCAGCCTCCTGGGGCAGGACCTTTCAGTCTCACTGATTTATACATAAAACTATATAAATAATGTAATGTACAGACATATAAATAATTACAGACTAAAGATATGTACAGATACAGACGTGCACAAGCAGCCCCTGACAAAAGGCAGCTGCAGCTGGCTCCTGGCAATGCTGGGCACAGGAAAAACACAGGAATGACCAAACGAGGCTCGGAGAGACACTGAGCGGTGCTGGCAATCCAGCCGGGCTGACACAGGGGCAAGGAGGGTGCCCAGCCCCCAAATCCCTCCCCGACAGAAGCCGGATGCAGGAACGCCCAAGCTCAGCTCGGTTTCCTCACCGAGGCTGAGCTGGGAGGGAAATCCTGCCTTCGGGAAAGGGAAAAATCCCGGCCCAGCCCCAGCCCCAGGGTGCGGGAGGGAGGAGGTGGCTCTTGCCTTCTGTCCCGAGGCCGGGCTGAGCCCGTGCAGGCGGAGAGACGCTGCTCCAGGCAAGGACGGAAGTTGCCCAACCGAGAAAGAAGGAAGGAAATCGCTTTTTTTCCCCGTCTCCTTAAAAAGAAATAGTTGGGAAAATGATCCTGGGCACGCAGGGGTTTGTCCAGCTGAGCTGAGTGCCCGGGAGGGAGCGCGGCACCCCTGGGGCTGCCCCGTGCCGGGGGAGGAGGAACTGAAAGGGGAAAACCCAGTCGGATGAGCTGAGATCCCAAAGCCGCTGGCAGAGAGCCGGGTTAGCAGCACACCCCGCTGACCTCCCGTGCCCCCAGCCACGCTCTGACCCTTTCCCGTTTCCAGGGAGGACGGGAATTCCATCTGGACTTTGACTTTGGCATGCTTTTCCCAGCCCCTTCCAGCTGGTCCCGTCCTGGTGGGTCAGGGATCCAGGGCTGGAGCTGGAGCCAAGTGCCACTGGCTGCTCTGAGCAGCCTCCGGTGCTCACCGGGATCCAGCACTTGGCATAACACATCTGTCCTGTGCTGTAAATCCATGGAAAAAGCCCCCTGGAGCCTGGCTGGGTCAGTCCTGCAGCTGCCCATGCCCCAGGGATGCCTTGGGGCATCCCAAGCCTGAGCAGTAACACTTGCTCCCAGCTCTACTCCTTTGCTATTCCAGGGTCTAATCCCAGCTGGGCCCCAGCAGGATTCATTTCCCCTTTGGTTGGTTCCTCACAACCAGCTGCTGATTCCAGCACAGGCCGAGTCTGTGGCAAGGGCAGGGATATCCATCCCCTGGGCATCCATAGGGCTTCTGAGGCTCTGGAATCCCCTTCCAGCAGCCACCAGCACTCAGGGACAAGCAGTTCCTCCCCCAGCTGATCCCAGTGGCACGCACCCCACTTCCTTCCCTTTATCAGAGGAATTTGGAAATAGCCCTTTCCAGTGAGCCCTTTGTCCCTGAATGGTGCTTTGAGTGTTACAAAGTTTATAAAAGCCCACAGAAAAGAAGGTACAAGAAGAGAGTTCTGCTCCAAAGGAAGAGTTTTGCTCTAAGGGAAAAGGCCCCTCCAAGAGGAGGTCTCTGCTCCCCAGCAGAGCACTCAGTGTCCCCCTGTGCTGGCTGGGGATAGTTTTTGGTCTCAGGATCCTGGGCAGTGCTAAGGGGAAAAAATCCAACAACAATTAAGGGTAGAAAAATTAAGCAGAGATCAACTTGAGCAGACCTGTCTGTGTCAGGCTGTCCCTCCCTGTGCCCTGGAGCTGTGCCAAGGAGCGGCAGGGGGTGGTGGCAGCAGTGACAGTGACAAGCTGGGCAGCTGCAGAGCGAGGAGGAGCAGCGGGATCGCCCTGAGAGCGCCATGAGGGGTTTCCAGAGGGGCTCCCAGCTCCTGGCAGCCGCACTCCGGATCAGCCGGGCCCCCCGGGCACAGCTTCGCTCCCACCCCCCCGAGCACCCCATCCCTCCTGGTGTGAGTATCCTGGGGGGCTGAAAACATGGGAACAGCCCACATGGAGGGGCCCAAGCCCTCTGTGTCAGGGCCAAATTGTTTTGGGAGGGGGTGGAAGCAAAAGGGGAGGGGGAGGAAAAGAAGGAATGAGCCCTCAGGTTCCAGCCCACACCCCCACAGTGTCCATGCCCTGCTCCCCACCAGCTCCTGCTTCTGTTTGGCTTGTCCTTTCAGCCCCTTTTTTAACCTTTGAGGTTTGGGGGTCCCCTGCAGCCCAGGGCAAGGGGCAACAGTGACACTGGGGGTCCCTCAGAGCCAGACCCAGACCCTGCCCCCCTATCCTGGGACAATCCCCACGGGACAGGAGCTGTTGTCACCTCTGACAGCCCCCCTGTGTGGGGGTCCCGCCCAAAGGTCCCTCTGACAGTCCCCCTCAAACCAGACCCTCCCAGGCTGGGTGAAACAAGCTGGGAAAAAGGAGCTTTCCACCAAAATCCTGCCTGGTTCCACCTTCACCCCTTTATTTGGGGTTTTCCCTCTGCTGCCTTTCCAAGGTCTTAAAGAAAGGAGCTGCAGGAGCCTGGAGAGGCTTTTTCTAGGCAAATAAATCAAAGGAAGGTGCCAGTGTGAGGGGTTAATGCTGTCCTGGTTGCACTGGGGAAATGAGGGGCTGCTGCTGGCTGCAATTCCCATCCCAAAGTCACCTGAAAGTCAGGAACACTGCAGGCCCTGGCCACAGCCTCAAGGTCACGCACTGCTCAGTGTCCCAGAGGAACAAACCTGGAGAGCACCAGCTCCATGCACTGCCAGTGGGAACAGCTCTGCTCCCCACAGCCCCAGGGCAGGTGCCAAGGGCTGGGAAGAGCACAGGGAAGCCAGCTGGGGGTGGTGTTGGACAGCAGTGCAGCCATTTCGGGAGCCCTGTGAGCCGTGGCACAGCCATGCCACTGATTCCTGCTCCTTGTCCCCCTCAGGAACAAGCTGTGGCCTTCAGCCTGATGTTCTTGTCCTTCCTGGTGCCCACAGCCTGGGTCCTGAGCAACATCTACAACTACAGGAGCAGGCCTGAGTGAGGAGAGGCAGGAGCAACCTGATCCCTGCTGAGAGCATCCCCAGGGAAGAGGCCTCGGGACAGAGCCTTGCAGGGATGGAACCCCCTGAACCTGCTCATTAAAATCCACCTTTGCATCCAACAAGGGCTCACTGGGTTTGCTCCATCCTGTAGGGAAGGAACCAGAGCTGTGCCCGCTGTCCTGATGGCAGCACTCCCTCAAGGGCAGCCAGCAGGTCCCCATGGGAAGGCACATTCCCTCTGGAGCCTCTAACACCCACAGCACTGCATGCACCCAGTCACCTCTCCCAGCACAAACAAGGAAGCCATTCCAAGGCAAATTCCTATCAGGAAAACACCCGAAGGCTGGAAGTGACATTAGAAGGGTGCCATGGGCTGGGGGCTGCATGCTTGCCCACTCCCTGCCCTGCAGGAAGGGCCTCTCCACCCACCACATCCCAAAATACCTGTGCCAGGGAAGCAGCCAGCACGTGGAAGGTTTGGGCACCAAGGGGCACTTCCAGGTGTCTTGGAAAAGCCTCTGGAGCTGTCTTGGTTCCACAGATCTGACCCTCATTCCCAGGAGCTGCTCAGAGCTTCACAGCCAGGGGAGTGCTCCCACAGCATGGGAGCTGTTGGAATGCTCCTGGGAGAAGCTGGTACTGCTTCCCACAGTGACATTCTGGGTTTTGGATGCTGATCTCAAGCAGCAGGAGCCCCACAACTCAGTGACTCCAGTGGAGTTTGCTTTATTCCCTGAAGTGTAGTGATAGCCCTGGGAATGAGGATGGGATCTGACATAGCATTGGGAAGGAGACTGTGCTCCTTAAAGCCTTCTCCTGTCCTCAGCTATGAAATAAAGGGAATATTTTCCTGATTGGAACACCTACTTCTTCCACACGCTCTCCTGAAGTCAGTAAAAGTGGCACCAGGAGTAAGCCTTGGAAGACAGGATGCAGCAGGAATTGGGCAAGTCAAACCAAGTGGCTGGGCAGGGAAGAGGCAGGCACTGGGCACTGAACAACCCCATCCAGGGGGGAATTTCAGCCAGAAGGGCCTGGAGACCAGCAGCAGGAGGAAGGTGAGCAGGCACAGACTCCAGCAATTCCATTTTGTCCTGTTTTCCAAAGTTTGTCTCCCTTGTGTGAGGCATCTCTGCACCATGCTCCCTTCTCTTGCTGGATTAACACCCTCAGCCAAGGCAGGAAAAGCACAGAAATTCCAGCAGTGTTAATAACACCAGAGAACCAAACTGGTGAGGAAAGCTCCTGACTACCAGGAGTGGCAAGGCCTGACCATGGAAACAGGTTTTTAAAGGCAACATCAGCAGCTGAGCTGCCAGGGATGGAGATGACACAGAATTCCCAAAAAGGGAAGGCAGAGACGTTTATTCCGGCAATGCCGCTGCACCTCACCTGAGCACAAAGCGTTGGTGAAAGACACCCACCCCTCGTGTATGGACACACCCACTAACCAGGAATCCCGGGAAAACCCTTGGATGAGCAAACACTCCCTCTGCTGCAGATGAGGAGGGGGGGAGGGAAGCAGGGCCAGGGGAGGAAGAGGATTTGGGGAAGAAGATTTGGGGAATGCTGCCTCAGGCTGCTGCAGGGGCAGGGGGAGAGGGCAGCA